GAACCGTCTAAGAACGAGTGTCTCGTCTTTACCAACTTAGGACCGCTAGAACCAATTTTTGTTTACAGGAGAAGTCTCAAACTTCGGCTCGCATTTGCGACTTGTTACTTTGATGGAAAAAGGATATTGCGATAATGACAGCGGTAGAAATGCTGCTGTAAACGACTCTCTAGGAGGTGACCGCTACGTGCCTCCGCATCGGCGTAATCGCGGCGGGGGCACTAGCGATGCGCCGCCTCAATCGCAGCAGCGCTACGATGACAGCGATCATTCGTATGGAGGCGGTGGAGGCCGTATGGGAGGAGGGTAAGCATAATAGTAACGGTTCTTGCCTTTCAAACGGACAACGAATTCTGTCTCAGATATCGTGACGGAGGAGGACGTCGCGGGAACTATGGTGGCAGAGATTCCTTCGAAAGAAGTGATCGAGGCGGCGGCGAAGGTCAGCTTGTATTCTCGTTTGACATCACATTTTACTTGCCTAGACATCATTCTCAAACTTTTCTCAATGAGTGTAAATTTTACGGGTTTGTGTATGTCAGGAGGCACGATTTTATTATGATGGACATCAATTAACGCATTTTCAATGTTTATCAGCTAGAATCCTTTCAAACCTTGAAAAAGTATGCAAGATTGTTGTGAGGGTTGCTAAAGTTGTAAAGTCCGTGAAAATAGATTTGAACTATAGATATCGGAGTGGCAATCTCATGAACTCGATTAGTCTTCAAAAAACCGTCAAAGTTAACAAGTGGTACTTCCAGAGTTAGTAAGTTAGATCACTTGGTGGTAGTCTCAAAAGGCTCGCATAGCAATATGGGCCGTCGAATTGGTGACCTCTAGAGAAATCGCGCCTCTTGATCGTCTCTCCAAACTTACTGTAACATTATTTGGAGCGAGTAGAGAAACCATGATTATGTTCTGAAACAATCTCCGAAATTATGACACATTTCTTGTCAGATGTATTTCTGTAATAATTTGTGGGTCAACGGTAGGGGTAGGGTATCGTGCTTGTAGTCAGCGCGTTACTTCGGGAAGAATGTGAGCTAAGCATCCCATTCTTGTAAGCTAGATTGAGTCAACTTTTACCAAAATTTCTTAGAGAAAACCGAAGTTCGAAAACTGAAGTTTTCGCTCAGCGCTGTGGATAGGTAGCTCAACTGACTCGTCTTTTCAAAGTTCACCATTTCTGGAGTGTCTATTAACTCTTTGTTGAGTCAAGTATTATAACACTTAATTTAGCAAACAAGTGATGGGAGCGAAATCTGTGGACTTTGTTTGAGCCTGGTTGTTATGCTAACAAGAAAATAAAATTTTATATCAAGCGCTTCAGACACTGCCTAATAGAGAGCTAGCAGCATTATACTAAGAGGGGATATATGCTAAACTCAGTCAGTGTGCTAGTAGTAGCTTTCTCTTCTTCTGAGAACTTCTGCATAGTTCATGCGTAAAAAACCCATGTTGCGCTTATATTCTGGGTAATCTATCTCAGTATCTGTATTTCCTGTTGAATGCTAGGATTCTAGGTCGCTATGATCATGATCGCGGCTACTCGGGACGCAACAGTGGGCGTTTTTCTGATCGTGGTCAAAGAAATGGTGGTGGCTTTGGTCATGATGACTACCAGGGTGGTGGTGGACGCGGTTCCAACCAGAGGTAAAATTTGAGCGAGCTGAAGCGTTTTTGTACGGTAATTCTCATTTTATAGATCCTTCGACTCGCAGCCGAGAGAAATGCGCAGAGATAATGGCGATCGCGAAGAGGGCAAGTGAGTATTTTGATGGGAATGCATTTGCCACAACAATCGAATTGATGTTCGGGCCCACAACGTTTGATATTTAGAAACAGCCGTTGGGCTGGCCTGCGCGAAGATGGACTCCCATCTACTCGTTGGGAGCGTCAGCAACCTCGAGACGAGCGCCTAGAGGCAGAGCTATTCGCCGGCCAGTTGTCCGGAATAAATTTCGACAAGTACGAGGAAATTCCCGTCGAAGCTACTGGGGATGATGTGCCTCAGCCAATTTCGCTATTCTCTGACTTGAAGCTTCATCCTTGGATTGAGGAGAACATCCAAAAATCCGGCTATAATCGCCCTACTCCAGTACAAAAGTACTCAATTCCTGCGCTGATGTCGGGACGCGATCTTATGTCCTGCGCACAGACGGGATCCGGCAAAACGGCTGCTTTCCTTGTTCCCTTGATCAATGCAATTTTGCAAGTAAGTTTTAGTTTTGCAGCTGAGTAAAAAGCTGTAATTTGTCATCTTATTAACTCCCTTTCATATAATTTTATCATTTTTATGAAGTTTACTGTCAAGCTTTACTTTCAATTTTATCAGCTTTTCAAAAGTGGAGCCATGCTTACAAAGTTGCATTTATGCAAAGATATACCGCACAAAGCATTTGTCGTAGATATGTTGTATCAACTGATACAAAGTAGAGTCGGTAATTACGCATTGCTTGGAGTAACTTCAAATGATCTTAGTTGATTAGTATTTCTCCAAATCTTTTGTGCCGTACCAATTAGTGACCATTTGTTCTTCAAGATTTTTAGATCTTTACCTGCTTTTCTTATTGATTCTTATTCTTTGCAGATTCAAACCAAAAACGCAGAAATAGTTCGGAAAAAGTATTTTGCATCATTGTATTAGGTTGGTCCGAAAGTTCTGTCACACAAATTTCAAAAATCGTAACTTCTTCCTTTCACCATAATCTTGCATAGCAAAAATACCGATAGGCAAAAATACTGTCATGTACGTACTAATGACACCTTGCTTACTCTCGAGTAAGTTCAGATTGCAGTGATAAAATTGGGAAACTCATTTCAATTTCGGAATTTTGAGGCAATCGAGTAAAAATTCCAAAACAGTGCCATAAAATTCAAAACAGCCAGTATC